AGTCGGTCTAACGTGTTCAATTTTCCTCTCAAATCCATATACAAATTCCACCTTGAAGAAAAAGAAAAAAAAAAAAAAAAAAAGAAGAGGAAAAAAAAGATACTCACCCGGCGCGGAGGGAAGCAGCGGCAGCAGCGGTGAGAGTGAGTTGTTGAGCGGCGGCAGCCCCGGCCGCGGGGTCAGCGGCGACCAACTCGGACAGAACCAAGACGGTGGTGGTGGTGGTGGCCGCCCCGCAATTTGGCACCGTGGCGTTCACAGCGTGGCGTACGCTCGGTGGAAGATCGTCCTCGTGTTGCAACTGCAGCTGAGGATAATGATGGAGGTGTAAGGCGGTGGTGGCTGAGCCAGACCTGGGCGTCACACAGGCCGGTGGTAAGAGTCCAGCTCTCGTGACCGCGGAGGGTGGCGACGGTGAGGGTGGCGACGGCGGCGGAGGCGGATACTCGACCACCTGAACGCGGTCCGCCTCGTTCTCGTAGATGATCTCCTTGTCGTGCGTGTACATGACGGTTTTCTGGCCGTCGTTGTAGATCAGATCGATCATCTTGTGCTCGCCGACGCCAAGCGTCGCGTTGGCGGCCGCTGGATCAGCGCCGGGCGTCACTCGCCCGTCAGCGTCGTCCGCGGCACGTTGCTGCACCTCGTCCGGGTCTGGTTGGATGTGCTGTTGATGATGATGGTGGTGGTGATGGTGATGATGACGATGATGGTGATGATGGTACTTGGGGTGGAGAGAGTGTACGGTCGCCGGCTCGTGGAGGTCTAGCACGTTCACCGGCTGCATCGTGGCCAGCAGCACCTGTTGCTCGCTCTCGTTTTGATTCTGATTGCTCAGCGAGGAGGACGCCGGGGACACTGGCCCCTCCTGCACCTAACACAGTGAACGTTTGTTTTATTGTTGTGGACAAGCGTTTGCGCTTCGAGGAATTTGAAAATTTAGAAATTTCGGCGATTTGGAGATACTGAAGTTCAAGAGTGTTGGAGGTTAATGAGTTTGAAATTGGCGTCTTGAAACTGGGAAATAGACGAATTTAAGCACTCGGAAATTTTGGTGTTCGGGCCTTGGAACATTTGGGAGATTTGGGAATTTTCGATCTTTCTGAATTTCAAGATTTGGAAATTTGGGTACTCGGAGTTCTGGATATTTGGAAATTTGGACGTTCGCAGAGTTGGGCGTCTGTGGATTTAGAAATATAAAAATTTGGGCGTGTAAAAGTTTGCCTGTTTGGAAATTGAGAAATATAGAAATTCTGGTACTCGACAATTTAGGAATTTGGAAATTTATGTCGTTGCGAATTTAGGAATTTGGAGATTTGAGCATTCGAAAATTTGGACATTTGGAAATTTGGGCGCTTGCGTATTTAGATCTTTGGAAATACGAAAATATAGAAATTTAAGCTTTTGAAAATTTTGGTATTTGGAAATTTAGGCTACTGCAAACTTGAAGAATTGAAAATTTAGACCCCCGAAAAATTAGAAATTTGAAAGTTTGCATATCTGGAAATTTGGAACTGTAGAAATACGTTTATAAATTTTACGTTTAAGTTAAAGGGAAGTTTATGTTTTAAAGAAAGGAAAAATATAACAATTTTCTGGAAATTTGAAAATTCAAGTATTCGAACTTCTGGAATTTTAGTTACCCAAGAAAACATCAAAAATTTTGTCGCAGTTCCTTAGCTGCTACTAAATACACGCGCAGGTCGAATATAATAGCTACTTTAATAAATATAAGTCTCGGTTTTTGCTGACTTTAACCGCTCGCGAACGTGATGACAGATAGTTTGCTGGAGTTCTAGTCGTAGTAGGAATATTCAAAGAAACTAAATAAGCGATCAGTTCAATTATGGTACTTACTTTTTCATTTGCTATTAAATCTCTCTTTTTATCAACGTTCTACGCCACTGAGGCGAATGTGAGTGCAGTTATCACGAGCAATTAGAAAAGTTCTGAAGACTCTGTCAGAATATCTTCGTATAACATAGATTGACACTTTCTCTTCTCTTACATAAATAAATAATCCAATCGTTATATATATACTTATCGTTTTATAAGTTACACAAGTGCATTGACACTTTTATACGTTCGATACGATTTTTAATAAAAATAAAAATTCGAATTTTTCAATTGAAATTTTTACGAATACAACTGAGCCAAGATCTGAAATTAAAATTCATAATCTCGGTTTCCTTAAGAATCGTGTTCTATTCTACGACCTACAAAGGGCTGGGAGAACAGTGGGTCGAGTTCAAGGAACAAAAGATGGTCCTCGGGGCCCCATTCAGGCGAGGGATTCAATACTCAGTCGCAATTCTTCGTAGGAGATTGGTTGACGAGGGTATAGACCGAACGTTTCAAAGAAAATCACAGGTCCTATACAAGATTAGAAATGGAACCATTCGGCGAATACTTTCAACAGATGACAGTAGACGTAGGTGAGGACGGCTTCGTGAAAGCTTTCAAGTAAGATGCTCGCGAAGCAATGCTCCACGATGTGAAGTTAGAAGCTTACATAAATAACAAGTTGCGTAACTAAATACATAATCACGTAGGTAAACTTGCGAATGTCGATGAACCAAAATAATTTCTAGTAATAACAATAATATTATGTACATAAAAATATATGTAGGTAAATTTGTGAATGCCGACGAATTAAAAATAATTAATAATATTCTTAGATAAACTTGCGTCGAGCGAAAATAATTTCTAGTAATTTCTATGACTGCTGAAATAAAATGAAATTATTACAATTCTACGTTGCAATTACAATTGCACAATTCAAATCGTAAAACGTGCTATTGGACAACGACATTAAACCAAGAATTTCGTCAGTGATGAACGATTGATTTGATTTTAAGCTAAATCGAGCTTCCCAATTATGCGAGCGTTCCTCAATTAATCGTGGTCGTGTGGCTACCATGAAATTGCCATTTTATCGATGCACGGTTCGCCGGTTCGCCGGTCACGGAAATTTATATTGCCAATACTTTATATGTATGTCGTAACGACGCACCGGTGTTTAACATTCTCGAACGTTCTCGAGTAAAACTCTCAAGCCAATCGCTTCGCGGAGACCAGTCCAGTCGAAGTCGAGTCTTCGGCGGGATATTTGAAACGACAGTCGCGTCTAGAGAATATTATTTTTGTTATAAATAATTATATAATTTTAATTATCGTAGTATTGTAATTTCATTATGCTGTAACAATCGAACCATATTGTTCGATACGACTAAGACTTTCGTTCGAACTACTTAAAAGATACAGCTGTTTTTGTCAAAGTTAACATTAATTTCTGCTTGGACGAAAGTACGATTGTATAAATCTACTTATTTTAATCGTCATTTAAATTATAGTGATTTATACGTAGAATATTTTGTATTTCAGTTGTTCCAGTGTCAACAAATATTTTTATTATTATATATAATATTATATATAATATATTATTATATAATATAATATATTATTATATATTATATATTATAATATTATAATATTATTATTATTTTTATTTTATATTAATATTTATTTTGTATTTTTATTTTATATTAATATTTATTTTGTACTTTTATTTTATATAAATATTTATTTTATATTTTTATTTTATATTAATATTTATTTTGTATATTTATTTTATATCAATATTTATTTTGTATTTTTATTTTATATCAATATTTATTTTGTATTTTTATTTTATATTAATATTTATTTTGTATTTTTATTTTATATTAATATTTATTTATTTTGTATTTTTATTTTATATTAATATTTATTTTATATTTTTATTTTATATTAATATTTATTTTGTATTTTTATTTTATATTAATATTTATTTTGTATTTTTATTTTATATCAATATTTATTCTGTATTTTTATTTTATATCAATATTTATTTTGTATTTTTATTTTATATCAATATTTATTTTATATTTTTATTTTATATTAATATTTATTTTATATTTTTATTTTATATTAATATTTATTTTATATTTTTACTTTATATTAATATTTTTGGATGACCAAAATCAATTATGTACACACATATATGTGACGTCCGCCGTAGTATTAATAATTAATCTCCTAGATGATATCTGGTAACATTTTTGATCTGCCAATATTTCTTCTCCCTCCCTCCCCTCCTCCTTTCTCGTTCCATCGGGCGATCAAAGATCAAAGTATCGTCACTCTTTCGATTTTCTAACGTAACGCATCGCGCGATCGATCCTCTTTTCGTCGCGTGAAATTCAGGGAACAACTCGCCGCGATCACTTTTCACAATTCCGCGGATTAATTCTCCGTTGGCGGATTTATAATCGCGTCGGGAGATCGCGATTCGAAAGTAGCCGCGTCGCGAAAAGTCCACAACAGACGGGACGATCGTTCGGTTTGCTTGTTCAGGTTGTCAAGCGGTTATGATCGATCGGTGAGTAAGTAAGTTTCGTGGTTGAAGAGGATCTTTAGCGTCGGAGTACGCGTCGCCCGGATTCCCAGAATTGGTTTCTTGAATGGTTTCTGCATCAGGTTCTCGGCTGACTCCGAGGAAATTGAGAATGTTTTGACAAATGGCCACTTGTGAGTAAAATGCAAAGGTCTTTAGAGATGAATGGATTTGCTCGACAGAATGGCGAATGTTTTCTTCGAGAATTCTTAATGTCGAATAACTTTGGAAGATGGAAGAAAATTCTATGTTTCTTTGTTATCTATGTTTCTTTGTTGTCTTGCATTATTTAATGCAGAGATATTAATTTTCATTGAGGCAGATTTCGTATTCTGTCTATCTTCGTTCTACGTCATTGAAATTATTTTTCAACTAATATTATTAATTACAATCCATCCTCTTGTGTCTTCACGTTCATTATTAATTACATCCAACCTGTCTTTGTTCATATGTAAATCATTACAATTTAAATGATTATCATCAACATTAGATTAGATTCATAAACAGAAGTCAATATTAATTTTGTCTAAAAAAATACGCGTGTCTTTTAAAACAAAAAATTCATCATATTAACGGGTTCTCATTCTGAACAAAATGTTTTTAAATCTCGAGTACATCTTTTTTCCCTTCACTAATTACTCCGTCAAGGACACTCTCATACACGCACAGAGTGGATGCGAAATACTGTTAAAAAAAAAAAAAAAGAAGAAGAGAAAGAAAGATGCAGCGAAAGAGGGACTCGAGCTGGAGTCATCGTCGTGCGGTCATTCTGCGAATCTTCCATCATGCTAACGATGTCGTTTGGAATTTCCCGCGCGTTTATGGGACTTTCCAATGGGAATCAGGCCGAATTGCCGCGAAGCTTCGCCTCCCGTTCTCTCGAACAGCGCCCCAGACGAGCGAGCGTGCAATGTCATTTACGATCATGCACCGTCCATTAACATAATTAACAATATCGTGAGTCATCTGGTTAATATTCGAGTTTCACCGGCGGCGAGTCATCGGTCGTCTCGAGCATCGGTCAACCAACATGATAAGTTATTTTTTCAGCGAATACCTGCTGCCCGTTGATTAATGACGATCCCAAGTTGTTAAGGTTGAATTTATTCGAAAAAAAGTTTTTCTTTTTCGTTTAGAATGTAACAATAACACGTTAAGTGTTTCGTTCTTTTTCTTTTCTTTTTTTTTTTTTTCTTAGGTTTTGCTCTTTTATGCTCTGAAATTATCTGACACGAAAGGATTTTTAAAATATCAGATCTCAATTCGATCTTTTCCTTTTAAGCGAAACTTTTGTTAGAAAAAATTTTCCAGAATGGGAATACTTGTAAGTTGAAATTTTTATCCTCGGAGGAATCGTCGTTTTTCCTCAGAAATAAAACTTTCTGTCTCTAAGGACTTCTTCGAAGTATGGAAATTTTGGTTGGAAAATATTTTCTGGA